CAAGTGCGTATCCCCTTTGACGATGCTGCTCTGCTGCTTCTAGCTACTTGTGCCTGTTCGACAATGCGGCTCCGGGCAGTTTGCAAATCAAGGTTTCCAAGCCCGCGGGCTTTCTAGTCAGCCAATACTTCAGACGCTTGACCCTTTCAACGCCCCCTTTCTCACTCAATCGCCGTTCTTGGCTGGGCCAGTCACGACTTGCGGCAACTTCGGTGTGCAGCTCTTGCGACCAACAGGCAAGGCAACCATGCAGGCACAGAGTCAGAGTCGAAGTCGCAAAACACTCCGGCATACTGTGAGATGGATGCCTGCCAGCCTGCGTCTCATCAGTCCTGGCACCCGCATACGAATGCATCATCCCATCGTCTGTCTCTCGGAGCCGACCCCGGACCATGTAAGCAGCCACTTGCCCGCCCGCTGCGACCGCCCGGAGCTCTTCAGTCCCCAACGTAGGATTTGTCGCCGGGTATGCTCAGCAGTGGCCAACGCCATCTGCGGTCTCCTATTGCTTAGACGGGCGGATGTGGCTTCGGCTATGCTACAGGTCACATCTCCCCCGTGCTCGTCCCATGATTTCGGTGTAACCTCCTCACCAATATGGCCACCTCTTTTTACGATCCCATCCACCAGACAGAGTTTGAGAATGGCGATGCCTTTCAGCTAGCCTGCTTAGAAGAAGAAAGCGACCAGTACCAAAAATGGCCGCAGTCGACTACCCGCGGACTAGGTGTCTGCATTCGCATTCCTACGTGGATCGAGGCGAGAGAGAAAGGGTTGCTGTGACCTCTTTTGTATGGATGGGGTGGTTCGCGGCTACTGCACGTTAAGAGACATGTGCGGCCGAGTGGCTCTGATCACTCGATGAGCAGCCCCATTTTCATCCAGTCATCCCCCTCCTCCACCCCTGGTGAGCAACAGCTGCAAGTGCTTCACGTTGTTGGTCCAGGGGTCGCCTGATGCGGACACATTTCGTTGGTTGCCTGTTCTGTCTTTCTCCTGCATTCGCAGCCTCATTTTTTACTCCACATGGCCGGATATCCCAATAGATGTTGGCTACGGTCAACGGCAGTCGAGTTGATGGCCGTAGGATCGCATTCTACTATAGGGGCAACGGGCTACTTGGCCGGGATTTCTCTCGAAGCCAACACCTCGACTGGCAACAAGCTCGATTGATGTCACTCTAGTTGCTGAGTCTGGTACTGCATCGTATTGGTTGCAGTGGTGTGACTCGATATGTTCCAATCGCGGACTGGCAGTGAGTAGGTAGGCAGATCATCCGTTTCTTTTCCCCCTCATGTTATCCGTGCTTTTTTTCTTTTTCTTTTTCCACGCTTTCTCGCTCTCTCGTTCGGTTCTGTAATCCCCTTACACCATTGTGTGGCATATGGTCTCGCACATGCGCTGAGTTGTGCCACTCGGCAATGGATAGCTGCCTTGCCAAAAGTACAGGTAGGCATCCTGGTGCCACCAGACTCGGAACGTGGTTCTCTCGGTGCGCTTTGAGTTGTCTCGAATGATCGGCGTGAAACACGGTGAATGGGTTAAATGTGTGTGTGTGCAGGGCTGCAGTGGAAGCAGGGCGGAGGAAGAAGTGCTTCTTTCTGCATCCCAAGGAGGGTGCGCCGGTGGGCTGTGAGGGTTGAAGGTACATACCCCGCATGAGACACCATCTCGTAGCCTTTCTTCATATGTTGATACTCGGCTGCTACCGGCACTAGGTGTCTGGCGATAGGGTGAAAGGGTACTTTTTTCTCTTCGTCTTGGTTGCCAAGGTGAAGGGACGAGACATGCAATTTACGTCCAGTCCCCTTGCCTTTGCACTTTGCATCATGCATGAGCTCGAGCTTGCATGCAGCCATTGCTCTCTTGCTCCAGCACTAGCAATGAGACGAGGCGAGCAACGCTGACCAAACATGTAGGTAGCTTCCTTCACGACCTATTGCTCAAACCAATTCTGCCTGTAATACCCCGTTGCCGTGTGCAATTAGTATTTGATCAAGCCCCATCCCGGACGACTGTCTGTGCAAAGCTCGCTTGTCGTTGTCTGCTCCGTCTCTTCCTCGGTGGTGAAGCAAAACTCTCTGCTGCGTACTTGACCAGTAAGGGTACCGACCAAGGCAACTTGTTCCCAAGTTCTGCTGTGTCATACCAGGGTGTTCCTTCATCTCTTTGCATCCCTCCATACGGAGCTTGTGCTGCTGCTTCTTTGCACCTACTCGCTCAAACAAACCAATTCAGTTTTACTCGTCGTTCCCAAAACGCACCTCAGCCATGGCTCATCAACACCAGCACCGCTTTGACGACGCCGCGTCCGTATCGAGCTACTCGTCCGGAAGCTCCTCCCGGTCGTCCTCCCGATCATCCTCCAGCTCGGGCGGTTCCAAAAAGTCCAGATCGTCCCAGACATCCCACTCCAACATCAAGAGCGATCACTGGACCGTCTCCTTTATGAAGTGGACGACGGGCGCACCACCGGGCAAGCAATTGGCCCTGCGGAAGACCAAGGTCTGCGACTACGAAGAGGACTGGGACTACGACGACGGCGGCGGCAGCGTGTACAGCGACGCGTCGTACATTTCCTACGCCTGGGTCAGTCCCAAATGGGACGACAGCATCTCCGAGATCGCGTCCCGCTCTAGTAGCCGGTCGAGCGGTCGGCTCCGGAGGGAGCAGCGGGGTTCGGGCGGAGGCCGGCATCGGTTCCCGGTGCCGCCCGTGTCGTATCAGCCTCCTCCCCCTCCCCCTCCTCCGTTCAACCACCCACCGCCTCCGCCTCCACCCGGTATGGCTCCCGGACCCGGGTTTCCCATGTACGATGATGAGCCTGCCTTTTTCGATATGGATCCTGGGTATCACCAGCCTCCTCCCGCGGCAGCCTTCGGCGGCGGCGGCGGTGATGCCGGTTTTGTGGATCTTAATGCCGGAGGCGGAGGTGGTGGTGGTGGTCCTCACTTCCCTGGCAACCCTGGCAAGTACGATGATTGGGAAGATTGAGTCTGTTTTTGCTGGTCTCTGGGACACTGTGTGTTCTTACTTACGCGGTCACGATTCTTGTACGGACATACGGGCAGGCGGCTGGTCTTTTCTTCTTTTTGGGCTTCGATTGACGATCGATGTTGGCGTTTGACAACAAAAACACACTCACACACACACACAGACACACACTACCTACAGGACTTCCCCTCCCCTCCAATTGTACCCAGAACATTTTTCGAAGGGAAAGACAGGACCTTCAAGTAAATTGGGGAGGGTGTCTAATGAATTATGATAGCTTGCTCTTGTCTAATGATATCACCAGAGAATATAAGATTTTAATGTCGATGTTCAACCCCCCATATGAATCTACATCCACGCAGCATGCCCAAAATCGAAGCCGTGACCAACCTTACCCCTGAATGTTACAATTGAAGAACAATGAACACGGATCAACCCCTGGATCAGCGGGGACACGAATCCTGAGGAAGTACCAGACGAATTAGAGAGAAGCCAAAGCAGGGTGTCTTGAGACTTCGTCGTGACTGTTCGCAGAGGCAATGTGCCTACCTACTTCAGTGATGTCATCTTGTGCAAACTCCCGATGAATTATATTACCGACAGTTAAAGGCAAGGAAACGGCATCGATGCAGATACCTACCGGTTCTGCGTCATTCGGGGAAGCCGCTGTAGCTAAGGCTCGAAAGTGTGGCTGAGCACTTCTGCGCTGTCCCTCGGCTCTCTGGAGTCTGGACCACAGCCACACACAGACTTCGCAGTTGGCCTCAATCCATGCATTTCACAGTGCACCCCGTCCAAATTGTCTTGATCCTGCATCTCCGGCTCTGCAACTTGTGCTGCAATTGCTTCTCAGCCGCAATGTGAAGTCGCATTCTGGATGGTGGGGATTCTCCTTTTCCCTAAGTTGGCACATCGTAAACTGCAGTACTTGCATATAGAAAAAAAAAAAACCCTCGGCCTCCGCCACCTTTGATGTGTCGTGCAGGAAAATCTACCGCAGTCTGGTGTCAATGTGGAAGTCTCGTTTCGCAAGCCAATCAACGTCTGGTCGACCCAATTCGAGCAAATTCGTTTGTTCGTAGACGCAGGTCTCACTGCTACACTTCCTTCCCCATCTCCCAATCGTTCCATTGGCTCACGAGGACCACCTTCACTTGAACCACTCATCTATCCCCATACTTTGATGACTGCATATGAACACCAACGTAGCTGTCTTACTTAACCCAGATTCCATTCCAGAAAGCTAAGTGGCTCAACCATATCCGCCTTAGACCTTCCTTGGGCCGCACATTTCCGGCCGTCCAAGGAAACCCGGGGCCTTCTTCCCCAGATCAGGTTCCATGCCCATCACTCAGCCTTACACGTCCCAAGAGTCCTTAGCCGCAGGCAGCAAATGTTGCCTAGCATTTAGCGTCAAGTCCTAACTGTTGTTTCCCCAGAAAAAATTGCCCCTCAAGGTTATAGCAGGACTTAGTTTTACGACTTTCCCGACCTCACCGCTATCCTAGCGCGGCCGGAGTGACTCAAACCATGCTTTTCACGCCTTCTCCGTTACAGGCGGCCTCAGCGACCCATCTCAATTCCCATGTGCTGACGACCTAAGTTTACTGGGCCGGCTATGCTAATTGGTGTGTGATGTGGTCCAGCAAACTTGCCCGCATATTGCATGTGGTGGTTGCAGAGACCCTTACCTCACTGGCTAGAGTTATGGTCACGAACGCCTCGTTGACGTGGTTGCCTCCCAAGTGAATGGGTGTGTATCTTCGTCTGTAATTCGACTATATAAAATAGCAAGTGTCTCGCACATTCAGAACTCGGGAATCTCACACACATCACTAGCTCGACATCTCCTTATTTCTCTACCTTATAATATATAAGAGAAAGCATCTCAACCGTCTAAATCTCTTACCATCAACGAGATATCCCAGCCCAACCAGACCGTTTGTATAAATAGACTGACATTGTTTCCCCTCGAGCTGGCCTCATTCTCTCAGCTTTTAAAGACAATGGACACAATAACAGATACCGGCTACGCCGACCCTATCAACACCTCATCCAGCACAGCTCAGCCTCCTCCCCAACTGGCACTGCTGGACTTCTTCTTCCCGGGCTTCAGCGTCTTCACGACAGCCTTCCAAAAGTACCTCGGCATCGACCTCAATGTCTACATCCCCCTGGTGATCCTCTGTGGCGGCGCCACCTTTGCCTGGAGGTACTTTAGCGAGTACCTCTGGGAAAAGGTCGAGAAGCACCTCATGTCGACAGTCGAAGTCCGCACCGACGACGAGATCTACAACATCCTCATGTCTTGGGTCGCCGCCCAAAAGTTTGCCAAGAACTCGCGGCGTTTCGTTGTTAACACCAACCTGAGCTCCCGTTCCTGGTTCCTCTGGCGCTGGGACGACGAAGAGGAGGAGTCGGACGAGTCCTCGGACGGCGGCCTCGTCGAGATCTCGGGCCAGAAGAAGAAGCCCCTCGCCTACACGCCCAGCTTCGGCAGCCACTCGTTCTGGTACCGCGGCCACCTGCTCCTCTTCAAGCGCAGCCAGAACCGCGAGCAGGCCTCCTACCTCGTCGTCAGCGAGCGCGAGGAGATTAGCCTCTCGTGTTTCGGCCGCAACCCTTGGGTCCTCAAGGAGCTCCTCCAGGAGGCCCGCGCAGAGTACCTCAAAAAGGACTCGCAAAAGACTATGATTTACCGCGGCAGCACCCGCGCCGGCACCACGGAGCCCACATGGCAGCGGTGTATGGCCCGCACCTCCCGGCCCTTCTCGACCGTCATTCTCAACGAGAAGACCAAGAAGGAGCTCGTCGACGACGTCGCTGACTATCTCTCCCCCGTGACTCGCAAGTGGTACTCGAACCGCGGCATCCCCTGGCGCCGCGGTTACCTCCTGACGGGGCCTCCTGGTACCGGCAAGTCCTCGCTCTCACTCGCCCTGGCTGGCTTCTTCAAGATGCGCATCTACATCGTGAGCCTGAGCTCCATCTCGGCCAACGAGGAGAACCTGGCCACCCTGTTCGCCGAGCTGCCCCGGCGATGCGTCGTCCTTCTCGAGGACATTGATACCGCCGGCCTGACGCACACCCGTGAGAACGTCACCGGGACCGGTAGCGATGCCGTGGACGCCAAGGACGGAGGCGACATGGTGCCCGGCCAGCTGACCGTGGGCAACGGCGCCAACAACACCAGCGGCCGCCTCTCTCTGTCCGGCCTGCTCAACATCCTCGACGGCGTCGCCAGCCAGGAGGGCCGCGTCCTGATTATGACCACCAACCACGTCGAGAAGCTCGACAAGGCCCTCATCCGCCCCGGCCGCGTTGACCAGATTGTAAAGTTCACCTTGGCCGACGGCGAAATCATTGGCGCCATCTTCCGTGCCATTTACGCACCCCTTGAGGGCGACGAGGACATTGCCGCGCAGCCCCTCCAAGAGCACAAGCAACTGGTCGGTGACACTCTTGAGGACAACGACGACGACGAGAAGAAGAAAAAGCTTGCCGAGCAAGCCGCCGCCCGCACCGCAGAGATCGTCGCCGCCGTCGAGGCCCTCTCCGAGACCTTCGTCGCCCGCATCCCCGCGCACGAATTCAGCCCCGCCGAGATCCAGGGGTACCTCATGAAGCACAAGCGCAGCGCCGAGGCCGCGGTCGCGGGCGCGGCGGAGTGGGTGACGGAGACGCGCAAGGAGAAGAAGGAAAAGGAGCTCAAGGCCGCCGAGGAGAAGCGGGCGGCCGAGGCCAAGCAGAAAGAAGAAGAGGAGAAGAAGCGCAAGGAGGAGGCCGAGGAGAAGGAGAAGGAGGCCAAGGAGAAGCGCAAAGAGGAGAGGGAGAAGAAGCGCAAGGCGGAGAAGAAGAAGAGTAAGCGGAATAAGAATAAGGAGGCGGCTTCTTCTGATTCATCCTCTTCCGACTCGGATTCTGGCTCCGGATCGGAATCGGAGGCCCCCGTTAAGGGTTCGGAGAAGAAGACGGCGGAGGAGCCGGTCGTGGTCTCGGGGGCCAAGGCCGAGCACGGGGCTGAGGATGTCACGCAAAAGCGAGACTCGGGTTACGGTACTCCAGTGGAGGTTTGAGAAAGTTGGGGCCCTGCATTACCAAGGATTTGAGGAGTTTGTTTCTTTCCCGTATCTGTATACTTGTTCTTTTGCATTTACCGGCGTCCGGGCGGCCGGTTTAGATGGGGAGATCCGGAGGGGAACTGCGATCCCATGTCATAGCGTTATTTCTTCAAGGGGTTTCAATTTGATGTCATCAAACTTATAGAGAAAGGCATGGTTCATGTTCATCTTCAAATACCAAACAATAGGCCAATGTATAAGCCATAAAACATGAATATAAGAAGATTGTGATTGTCAAGGAATCATCTAGACTATTGAACAAAGTAAATGACATTGCAACGGTGGCTAGACATGAACGTCTTCGTATACGTTAGCGTCTTGACTAACTCACGCTCTGGCTGCCATCAATGACTGACAGCTGTGTGCTCGGTCATTGCATCAGCTTAGTTAGTTTAGACGTCGGAGGCACAGCCTGATTGCTCGAGCACTCTTGTCTCCTCTAGATCCTACCTTGTAGGGTGGGCGCATCCGGCCGGCCTGAAGATATCGTCACTCGTCGTAGAATACTCGTCTCACCGACAGCCTTCTACTAAGATTACCACAGCTTCAAGAACCAGAAACTCAAAACATACGACACTGTTCTGGGTAATATTGTGAACACATTGGGCAAATATTTTCTGTCAGGCCGTATTCCGGACCAGACAGCTTTTTCAAATTCCGCAACGGCCTTAGGAGTAGGCAAGTAAAAAAGATCCTCTCATATTTTCTTTCAAGTGAATTCGTAGACGATCTTCTTACAAAAATTGGTTCCATAACTCAGGCACGACAACGAATCAATGCTCGTCTAAGCTATTTCTTCTGACCTTCTATAAGCTTGCGCGGTTCAGAGAGCTTCAATGTTTCTACGTGAAAACACTCGTCTCGTATCTCCATATTGAGCTTAGAAGTAAGAGAGAAGGGCAAAGGCTGCGATACATGCTCGTCAGATTTCTACTTCGAAGGGTGTCCTCGCCGTCCTTACACCAGCGTGAGGTTCACATAAAATTAGTCCATTGGCAAAGGATCGCCAGAAATCCGATCGATCCTGAGCCTAACAGCAGCATGGTACTTCTCTTGTATCCATACGTCTGCTTGCTCGAGTGTCATTCCACTTCGGATGGCTTGGAGAAGATGGTAAGTTTTATCACCGATAACCAGATTGTATAATCTTCATCAGGCTTCTTAGACCCACTGTGATACAGACCAGAGTCTTCGGGCCCGCAGAACTGGTTCCTTAGAACATGAGGCAGGTCTAGTCGGAACAGGTGCTTAATAAGATCCAAATTGGCGGAAAGCTCATCGACCAATTTACACCTTTCAGCAAGCAAGCAAACTAGGTATATAGTGACAGGGACATGCATTCTATATCACATATCTGTTGTTGGGAGGTACGATACATTAATGAAAGAAAGGAACTTTGTGAGATATATTGCCGGAGGCCTTTTCACAACAATTCGCAATACTATGCCTTTCATGAGAAGGCTTGATAGTATCTCTGTAGTTTCGAGTGTGAACGACCCTTTCGTATATTTGCAAACTCACTTTGTTCCCTCGTAATGTTGAGCCGATAACGAAAAGGCGAGATTGGGACTGACTGCAGTAGTGTGCGTAATACCCTGCTTTTCTACCGAAGCCTCTCTAGCTTGTGACCAGCGTATCTTGGCAGTGCTTGGCTAACTTGCGTAACTCCTACCAGGCTGCTATCTCATTTCGAGCTTTACAACCACACGTAGTCCGCGATCCTTCTGTATTCAGACGTCGGCCATATGGTGATGATGATGATGATGATGATGATGATGGAGTATCAATAAGGGTAAGAATAATATTTCCTGGATTCCTATCGACAATACGTAGACGAGATTATCTATCGTGAGGAATTTGCCGACCCTATAAGAAATGACCAGCCAACTCCGAGTGGTATATAAATATCAATGAATGACTCTGCCTAGGCTTCTATCTACTTATATCTTGCTATAACGTTTTCTGTCCACTCTAGAGCAACGATCATGGGCCAATGATCAAGAAGCCAAAGCGTCAGCAATCGTCCGCGGCTGCCAGCCTGTCGAAGCCACCCACTTTTGGTTGATACTGGGATATCGCAGGCGCCGCAGTCGCCGAATCCTTCCTTCAGCCCCATGAGAGGATCGACACTGACAAGAACAACACCTGCGATGTCAACGCCTTCGAGACATTGGACCGGGGGAGACAGATACAAGTACACGAAGACATTGTCGGCCGAATTGCCCAGCTATCTAGAGTATATCCTCAAGACCGAGTACGGAGAACGTCCAGGGAACCTAGCCACCAACGAAGCGACGGCAAACTCGCCGAAGCAGATGCCGCACCTTCTGTACCGGGCTGACATCGCCAATCTCACCAGGAGCTTGTAGGCGGTCCCCATGGATCAACGGCGTAGCAGCGACCCCGAGAATAACCGCAACAAAAAGACGTTCACGCAGGGGCGAGCGTTCGGGACTATGGCCTTGATACGAGTGCGGTGGGCATGGTCTCGCCGTTCCCGTGGCAGTAGTGGTGCTAGGACTAGGCCTGTATCTTCACAACTATAGTCTTGACGAGGCAGAGGCCGTTGCTGAACGATTCTCTTCTCGCTCTGTTGTTCTATCCTCTGAGAGGCTGGGAGAGATATGAAATCTATGTGGAGGGAGCACAGACGCTACAGAAGCTTGCGGGAAGCCTGCTTGGGAGTCTTGAGACTGATAAGGGCCAGTACAAAATTGACAAGCATAAAAGTGTTGCCAAAGGAGAATCGAAAGGGAAGTCCAATGGGGGGGGGAGCAGCATGGGGCCTGAATCTTATAAGTCGACCTAGCGCTGCCATCATTTCGAGTTGCTATGTTCCACGTCTCTGAGACATTTGAGATTTATCCATTCATGTTTTACCGTACAGCAGTCTAACAATGAGTTCTCGAGGGCCAGGCAAAATATGCGTGGAAAATGCAATAGGATGTGAGGTGTGAATGGCTGCTCTGACTGGGACAGCATTCCCCGAGAGATGGATCACGAAAACAGTCAAAAACATCAAAAACATACAACACCAGGTATTCGCTGGTCGTCACCGACCCAACTACTAATCCGGCCCTCATTGGCTTATCTATGGGAGAGCGGACGGGATCCCGAGTTTTCCAATGGGTATGGTCGTATGTGGAAAATCGGCAATGCTAAGTTGAGTATATCCCCAAGCTGTAGCATTGAGTCACAGCTGTAGTCTGCGCTGAGGGTTTGGAAGGCTAATGCTGACAACAACTTCGTAGCAGGCTTCTGGAAGCAGTCACTGGAACGGGCAAGATGCAACTCCGGGGTCTCAGCGGCAAAGAAGCGGGCCAGCTAAAGCAGAGTGTCATCATCAATGGTTCGATAAACCTTGGATGGGGTGTGTCCCAGATGCATGTGGTTCCCGAGCTAATAGAACGGGGACACAATACATCTGAAAGGTTTCAAGGGCAAGATCTTCAGACGATGAAAAGATGCCCATGTCCGTGCCGAGCATGCGTCTCTGCCTCACCTTGCCGTGCTGTACATTTGATCGCTACGCAAGGAATAGCGACGGTTCCCAAACTGGAGAAAACTGGAAACTGAGGGGAAGGGCCGGACCATGCGAACCTGGGCAAGAGGGCCGATGCGAGACCGGTGCGGTGCGGTTCGGGTTGCAGGGCATGAAGAACGAGGGGTTAGAAAGAGAATTTTTTTTCCTTGGACGACGTGATGGTTGTTGCGCTCGGTCTAAGAGCCTCGGAGTTCGAGGCTGAAAAGAAGACTGCGAGAAGGGGCCAGCCGCCAACTGCTTGTGATATGTCGTTGCGCGGGGCGGTCCCATTGTGGATATCCGCCGGGAGGGGTCATCGTTCGGAGGACCGACGCGGCGATGCGAGTCGAAAGCGTGGGATGCCATACCACACCTAGGTCGCAGTCGATCCACGGAGTAACAATGGCCAGTCACTCAGTCGGAGTTCAGAGTATGGGGTTGGTGAGAGAGAGATGGAGTGCAAGGATGTGATCCCCAGAAAAGGTCTCACGTCTCTTTTTTATTCCCTCTTTCTTCTTACGTTCCGATGTACATACGTCTGGCGAGGTGAAACTGTCCATTTGTGCAAGGGTCCAAATGTCAACATGCTTGCCGCTGACGAGATGCGCACATGCGGCATGAACGAAATGTTTGCGGATCTTATTTAGTTTCTTTGCTTGTCTCTGACCTCTGCGAAGTTTTGACCGGGCTTTTCAGCTGCTCCCCAACGTCGGTAGGGCGAGGACGGCAAGCTCAGCCACGATGAACGCGAACACCATCACCAATGACACGGGGTTATGGTGGTGAGAATGAAGCCTCGTAGTTGTGTTTGGAGTTTCCGCGATGTGGTGGCTTGATGACTGGCCTGCCTGTCACCCTTGGTCTTCCGCTACCCTAGCACGCCTGGTAAGCTGCTTGCTGCCCTTGCAGTTCTGCAGTCAGACGCATGTGCCTGTGCCTTTTTGTGTTCCCATAAAGACTCTTCCGTGCCTGTGCCTGTGCCTGTGCCTGTGCCCGCTCTAGCTGCTTGGTAAATGGTATTGGTAGTCCGACTAGGCAAGTTCCTGTCGGTGGAAAGCAAATTGGAAAATGTCAATATCGGGATGCATGGCCGTTTTGCATCAAGCTAGACTAAACAAGCTTAGCGAGTCAACGCCAGAGATGATTGTGGTGTTGTTGAAGATGGAGCTATCAAACGATGAATCGTCAACGAGCAGAAGACGCTATTCCCAATCAGGACTTTACCAAATCAACTGCAGTTCTGGACGCACGCCTCGGGGCAAGCGCAGCGTCTCATCCTGGTAGACGCCCTGGCGAAGTTCGGGAACCTGAGAAGCCAGGCGCACCTACTGCGCAGTATATGCCGCTGAGTGAAAGAATTCTTCTCTGTAGCTGCCGTCGTTGCAGAAAAGCGCCCAAGAGTATCCGCAATCTTTCCGCAACTGGTGGGGTC